TTCAATAGCAAAACTCAACGACAGATGTTTTTGTTATTTTACGGCCGCCATGTTTGTGCCCCTCCGAAGGGCACAAACATGGCGTCTCCATACAAAGCTATATAAATTTGGGTAACACACTTCTGCGAATAACGGGTGAATGAAAAACAGCATAAACCTGATTCTTGGCAAGGTTGTTTATATAGCAATCATCTATAGTATCCCAGATTCTTGAATTTATTTATTGAATGGTGACGATATTTAGTGTTGATCACCTGACTAGTGAAAACCGAGAATATGTATATCAAAATGGTAATAAAATTTATTTGCATCATCAACATTAAAAAAATAAAGATTAACTTGTTGCACATAGTATTTAAAATATGAACATCTATTCAATAAATTAAGAATAAATAAACACTATGGTTATAACAATAAAGTCACTTTTTACAGACATTTCCTGACTACTTTAAGCACCCCATTTCAACAGACTCAACATTTATAACTTAAAGGAGCTACGTCACAGTTTGTGCATCTTGAAAAGTTTAGCCTAAATTTTTTCTTGTTCATCATTTTTAATCCATGTTAATCTTTTCTATCCTTACTCATCCTTGTTCCTTTACTATTTTATTATTATCCCTTTGGTGTTTTTCTATTTTAGTAAACTATCATTTTCAGGTTTCCATCAATTTAAAGGTAACTTTGTATGTGGCCAAAATAACTCAAAATACCATGACTGAGCTCCTTTAAAGAGTGTTACAATGCTTTTAACCAAGAAGGTCTGGACCCATGTTAAAGGAACATGGCTGTTCCCACACTCTGTTATCGGTCAGCTATCAAAGAATAAACAACTGACAATCTGTGAATTTTCAACAGCACAGACAGTAAAATGGTAAAANTTCAACAGACTCAACATTTATAACTTAAAGGAGCTACATCACAGTTTGCACATCTTGAAAAGTTTAGCCTAAATTTTTTCCTGTTCATCATTTTTAATCCTTGTTAATCTTTTCTATCTTTACTCATCCTTGTTCCTTTATTATTTATTATTATCCCTTTGGTGTTTTTCTGTTTTAGTAAACTATCATTTTCAGGTTTCCATCAATTTAAAGGTAATTTTGTATGTGGCCAAAATAACTCAAAATACCATGACTGAGCTCCTTTAAAGAGTGTTGCAATGCTTTTAACCAAGAAGGTCTGGACCCATGTTAAAGGAACATGGCTGTTCCCACACTCTGTTATCAGTCAGCTATCAAAGAATAAACAACTGACAATCTGTGAATTTTCAACAGCACAGACAGTAAAATGGTAAAATGTGCTTTCATTTTACAAAAACTTTTTCTGTTAGAACATATTTAGCAACTAAAGTTATCCTGTACTTGTCGTTGGTATATTTTGGTTTGAAGAGATTTTGAAGAATGCTCAGTCTGCGAGACACTTGACATCACAACGTGGCATAACAGAAGTAACATTTTGCACCCAAAAGGTGTTTAGTGTGGAGGTATCATCCATTTTATACTAACTAGAACTTCTTGTTTGTGTTTCGAGACTGAATATTAATCCTTAGGTGTACAGAAATACACAAGACACAAGTATACATTGTACAGGCTTGTTCAATGACACAAAACAGTGAATAATACTGGACAGTTACACATGGCACTACTGATGCAAGCGACACAAAATAGCACAACTTATAAGAGAAAAGACTTTTGCCATTTGTCAACTAGCTGATCTTTCAAATGCTTAAATAGCACCACAGATGTATATGACTCAATAGATCAACTGGAGTTTTGATGTCACAAATCCACATGTTGAGATAATTAAATTGCAGGTTTCATTAAGAGCCAGGCATTGGGCAAACTAACTGGCTGTGAGGATGATTTTGCCCACCTGGTTTGACCGTCTAAAGGAAAGCTTTTCTTCTACAGAAGCCCAGTTCAAAAAGGTTTTGCTTGCCTGTGAAAACCAGTTGCCCTCCTACTAAAAACATTCATGAAACCCCTGATTAAAGACTGTAAAGTTCCAAAAGTAAATTGTTTTCAACACCAAGAGATCTAAGAAGGATTAAGATTTTAAAATTATAGTTTACATCAGAACAATACATTCAATTGCCTTGAATTGACAGAAAAGAAAAAAAAACATATTGTCAATGGGAGCAGCAACCCAAGTTCTGTTTCTGTTTCACAATATCACCAGAATGTCAGCATTGGTTTCTGGTGGTTAATAAAGTCAACAGAATGGGCAGAAAGCAGTGTACTCGTTTCAGCATTGAATAGCATGTGAAAAAACATGTTCATGTTCTGCTTAGCCAAGTTGATCAAACTGTGAACTTTCCAATGGCCACTCGGATATACTCGATAGTTATAAAAATGCAGCTATAGTACTGTAATTTATCACTATCTAAACAGCAGGAGTTTCACCATCTGTAAGAAAAGAATAAAAAAAATGTATCAATGTTTTTTTCATTATCTGATCTTCATCAAATAATTGAAAAAAAGTTGTAAAAAATATTCAGTGTAGATCAAGATGAAGATATACTTGAAATGGATGATCTCCTAAATAATTTAAAAATTGATATCTTGAACCAAGAACATTGAATGTACAGAGTAAGGATATATCAAGTGGGGAACATTAAAGCAAGGGATATATTCAAGGGATTTTTTGGCCCAGTTATTCCATAATATTATACTGTTAAGAATTATTTAAAAATTTAATCAAACCAAAGAAGAAAGTGCAGACTCATTACACTACCTGAGTTCACTACAGTTGTATCTGCTCCTTGATCAACAAGGAATATTTTCATTTTACCCTACGAAAACAAGCATTTAATAATTGAAAATTCAAAAAAATAAATAATAGCTACTATATCATATTTGAAAAAGCTGAATTCTTGAGTACCAGCCCAAACCTCCAAGAACAATAGCCTGAGCATGAATAACATGATCAGGGTTGGCCATGGGGGTTGGTGGTATACCATTAAACCCGAAAAGAAAAACCCATTATACCCAAAATTTCCCCTATAATTCACACACAATAACAACATTTGGAAAAACCATGTAAACTTTATACTCATAAAAGGCCCAATTTTGGCATCAACATACTGTACACCTGTATTGATTTGAAATCCCCCTGTAAACCATATAAACCCTGGCCAACCCTGAACCTTGACATTTGTACCACATACTGTTTCATTCAGTGCATTTGTTTACCTGATCATGTTCACAAGCAATATGCAAGGCTGTGTTTCCAATAAGGTCTTGCTTGTTGATCTACAGTTGGGTTAAAATTAGATTTTGAATGAGAGGCTTTTTAAAAAAAATAACTGTTTTTGAACAGATGAGATGATCTTTGATCTTGGCAACGTTTAAGCAATTAAGGACGTTCACGCGAAAACTTTCCAGTCAATGGATCTTTTTTAATTTTTTTCTGCAGTCAGATAATGAGTTACTTGTGTCAGAAATGTAAAACAAATTGGAGGTCACCAACTTTGTTTCAGAGATGAAGCATGGGGAAAACTACCCTGATTTTGAAAAATTGGTGCACATAATTCAGCATGGTTTACTGTACAGGGGTTTATAGTTAAAAATACTGAACGTGGGTCAATGGAGGCAAACAATCTTAGTCATATTTTGTAGAAGTGAGTCTGTTGTGTAAATAATTCCAAGTGTTGCCATCCTTTTTGTAGGTCTTAACCCTGTAAGAGACATTTGAAACCTCTGCAAAGATAAACAAAGAGCTAAAAAGAATGGAATTCAATGGTGCATTTTTCAAAAAATTCAAACCTCTAATTGATAGATTTTCTTTATTTTTTCACTAAACATAGAAAATCAGTAGAGAAAATGATCCATCAAAAGGGGTCGCCAAATGCCCAGGATCATTAAGGTCATTCCCCAGTATTGCATTGCGCATCCTTACTGTGCATAATTTATGGCGTCATTAGCGTGCGTTCATGCACGCGCACACTGAAAACATTTGCCCTGATATTGAGTTCTGTCAGTTGAAAAATGGCTATAGCTTACTAACGAGCTTGGGCACCCCAAATTTTTTTCCAGTCATTTTAACCAACTAATCATTAGCTTTGCATGAGAAAAGACTGATCTGATTTCTATGTTTGAAAATTGAATAAATAANTTTTTAAACTTCTTCAGATTTTGGTTTTTCAAAATATGTTTACAAAGGTATAACAAAATTTATTTGATAGACTTCTGAAATATACAAATTAAAAGGATTAACATTACTTAAACTTCCTATATTGTAGCATCGCTAATGAATATAGGTAGGGCCTTTCTTGGCCAATCTCCCATGAGCTGTATTTTGTGGGAAATAAGGTCAGCAACTGATAGTTTTCATAGCAAGGGTATGTTGATACTCCAAACAAATGAAGAACCTTATCAATAACCTATACCTGTAATATTTCATCCTTGACATTAGGATCCAGTCTGCCATCAGTCAGCAAGTACTTCACAACCTTTTAAAATGACATTTAAGTTCAAATTACAAACAAAGGCAGTTGGAGAAGAAACTGACACAATTAAGGTACACAAACAGAAATCATCCAGTTACTCCCAAGAAGAGTCAAACCTATTTCCTTCTCCACATTATTTTGATGCCCTGCCACTGAGCTACAGGAGACTTGTGTGTAGAATAACTTAGTGGCAGTGTCTTGATAGAGTGGAAAGGTGATAGGTTTGAATCCAGTTGGGAGACCTCCAAATACTCTTTCCAAGTAGTTTGTGTCACTGATGATCATCATCACTGCTTATATATCGAGTGAATCTGAGGACACTTCTGTGAGGTTTCTTTAAAGCCACCCAGATATTTTGATGTCAACAATTACTACACATAGCTTGTGGCAGAAAGAATTTGTGGAGACCCTTTCACTAACCAAAACACATCTTCCTTAAGGTAATCAACAATCAATTGAAATTTATGACGATGAATGGCTGAAGAGCCATAATTTCAATCACAAAGACACTGTTGTGAGCAATGTGTAACTACTTGTCAAAGCGTAAATACAAATTATCAATCAGTCACTACCTTCACAGCATTTCTTTCTGCTGCAAGATGAAGAATTGTCTTATTGTCCTGAAATCGTGTAAATCTGATGTTCTTATCCTGGCGAAGATTTTGTACCTGAAATTAGCAAAAGTTAACCATTCAAAAATGGTAATACAGCTTTTTCCCTCTTGACTGACAATCCCCAATTGCAAACCTGGGGATTAATGGCAATACACTAGTAAAAGAATCAAGTTTTATCACATATTTGATTTGTTGCAGTTACCACATCAATGTTATCAACTTTTACTGCCTCCCACAAATTCCAGTACTCATCTTCACTTGCCAGGTCTGGTCCCTGAAGAAAAAGTTCACTAATTTAAATAACATCAATAAAATGTGTAAATACTAATAGTAACAAAGGGTCTGAGTAGACTCTTATTTAGGTCACCTTTGGGCATAATCAGTTTTCAGAGTGCAACCAAAATCTGTGAACAAAACTTAACTACTGGAAATTATATGATATTAAGGCAATCTCCTATAATTCATCTCTCAATGACAATTTGTAATGTTAAATTCATTACAAATTGATTCAGTCTCCTGACATGCCTTTCCAAATGTGACAGACAAGACTTACTAACTGCAACGAATCGTCAATTTCTTGTCCAAGTGAAACACCACTGTCCTCAGTTGTAGGAGGGAGGTCCTTACTGCCATCTTCCTGTGACTCTTGGTTGCCTTGTATATTTTCTTTGATTTGTTCATCAGCTATACTTTCATGGTTCTCCTTTGTAGTATCCTCTGTTTGATCTACTCTCACTTCACAACCTGGTTTGTCAGGTGAAGAGGAATCTTCCTCACCTGCTGTCTCTTTCAGATTGTTGTTTTCATCCTTTTTGTCAACCTGACTAGTTGAGTTATCCTCATTATTTCCTTTTGAGGGTTCAGACTCATCAGGAAGTGATTTAATTTGTTCTGAGTGATCACTTCCCGTACTGGGTTCATTCTAAAGCGTGGAACAAAGACAATGAGAATGACATTCACCACCATCATGATGTTAAAAGAAACATAAAATAGCATTACAGACTGTTTCCAACCTAAAACCAAACGAACCCAACCAAATGTGAAAGGTGCAGTCCATGGAACAAAAGTACACTTGTGAGTAATTGTCTAGTGGAAGGCCCAAAAGTTGTGGTCCCAGGGAAAAAGATCACTCAGAATAAAGTGGGTAAGATTTATACAACGCCTTTAAAAGAAAATGGGTGAGGCCTCTAGCATGGCTGTGCAATACACAGTGTTGGGCTGTTGAGCTTGTTTAATGTACCAAGTGATGCCATTTGGCTTATGTAATGCACCAGCTACATTCTAACTCCTCTCACACTGGAGACTGTCTCAGTAAATTTCAACAGCATGGAAATGAAGTTGAAGACACAAGCTGTTTAGTTAGGAAGAAATGAACTTCACTAAGATGTGTCTACACAATAGGGCCTTATCACTAAGTAAACCTGGCAAATATTTAAGAAAAAAAGAGATATACAACTGAAACATACCATTCTGGATTCACCTTGACTCTCTGTTGGATTCACTTGTACAGTTTGAAGCACAGTTTCATTGTCTAAATTAGAAGCAGCAGAATTCCCACCCATATCTGCATCTGTGACCATTACAATTCTTCCCTCCACCTAACAAGGAATTGATATTATTCAGTGTGTCATTACAGCCTCAACTAACACAAGAACTGTACAGTACTGCCTTAACCCTGCAATACCAACCTGAGGTGAAATCCTTATATGCTCTCTTTCCAAGTTAAGAAACATTTCCTGTGATGACCTTATGGCCCCATCATCAATAACGTTAGATGATTTATGCCGCCTGTAAAAAAGAGCAAAGATAACATTTTTTTAAGTTTAAGAGAAAACTGGAAGGGTAGTCCATTCTTTTAAACCTTAAAGGGCCATGGATAGCCCCCAGGGACTGCAGTGGGTAAAACATCATAGATTAGATACATGTTTTCCCTGCTCAAATTAATCAAACCAGAGGGGAAATTAGTTTTATCCCCTACGATTAATCAAACCCCAAATTTAACACCATTCCCTTCTCTTGAAATACCCAACATTTTCACAGAACAAATTGTATTTTCCTGTCATTTGCCAGACTTCAATTGAGTTGTTACTGTAGCAATGCAATTTACAGCACTTAACAACCTTTTTATTAGCCTCATTTGAAGAGCAAAACATAAAATTTTAGCCATGCTGGCATCAACTTTGTGTGTCAGTTGTGGGTCAATATTTAATGACATGGTTATTATATTTTCAACTGACAGCTATGAGATGGACAGTGTTCTACACTTTTTTCACTTCAACATTTCAAAAGACTGTAAGGCTCTCATTACAAATGTTATCAATTCAGATCTTTCCATGCTGTCTACACAACATATGTTCTCACCAACTGACATGTTGAGTTGTATCACAGCCATTTTCCTTCACATCTTGACCGCTGGTTAAGCATTCTTTAGATCTCCTGTTATTATAGTCACAGGTTATGTTTTCTTAGTCTTAAAACAAATTATGCAACAGTTACTGAAAGATTCTAAAAATGCAATATTCTTATTTCAGAATATACCACTTTCAGTTAAAGAATTTGTATTACGTTAATTAACTTATTTTATTGTTAATAACATACTTTGAAGTGCACTGCTTGGTGACAGTTTGGTTAGCATGGTTGTCAGACTAAATTTAGTTAGTACTTTCTTTTCTCAACAGCGTTATTTTAGGGCTGATTTTGTAGTTATTGGCTGTCAGGTCAACTTTAGTTTTGTTTCTGTTGAAGGACACAATAATTGCATATTAGCTCACAAAGAAATCACTCCCCTCTTTATTGTTAGTGTTGTTAAGTTAAGCACAGCCAGAGTTGTTGCTAAGCGCCGGCTGCCGGGGAAATTCGCCAGCTGGGAAAGGGGTCATCGCCGGCTGAATTTTGGCTGGCGAACACTCGGTTAAAAGGGCATTGAACAGTTCTTTGGTTACGCACTTGTTTGATTTAGAATCATATATTCTGAGTGAAAAGGTTGAATAAACTCCTGACTACCTTGAGTATCGATGCCACAAAGTAATTGAAATAAAGTCTTGTTTTGAGAACTTGTTTACCGTGTCCTCTTTCCGTTTTCTGCGTCCGCCATCTTGTCAACACGAAGCTTGGTAGCCTGCTGCATTCAAGGCGTTGTGAAAGATGGGAACAAGTTTGTTACCAGGTCTCCTGGATCTCTCGTAAACGTGGGACAAGATAGTTTGTTCGATCCACGAGTGAATATTGTAAAGTCATCCGACAGTTGTTCGAAAGTTGTTAATTTACGATCTATCCATCGATGGAATGAGATGTAAGCTTATAATAAAATGATATGATATAAAATACCAATATCAGGGGATGGTAGGTAACAAAATGCCTACGCATGTACAATTTTTTCTCTTTAATAGTTGTTTCTTTTTGCATAAAAGAGCCCCTAGATTTCACCAGAGTGCCCCAAATTGAATTAAAATCTTCAAAATTTCCTGGGGGAGACCCCTCATACCCCCCCCCAATGGGAGGGGGCAACCCCCTCCCATACCTACCCCACGTCAGCTCTGCCGACAACAGAAGGCGCTTTGTGCCTTCTTTAGCTGGCTCAATTTCCAAGACAACCAGCAGACAAATTTCTTAGCTACAACCTTGCATAGCATGACAAACCAGTTTTAGAATACCTTTGACTACATCATTAAAACCAGAAATATGATCTTTGTATGAGCCCTTGTTGTTAGAGTATTTGTGAGAATATTCCTACTTTACATGTGGCGTGGAATATCAAATATAGCGCATGCTTTCCATCTCAAAACATGTAGCAAGACTAATTCCCCTCAGCAACAAGCTTAGCGTAGGATTCTGCTCTGATTAATGTCTGGCTTTGCATTAAGTATTTACCCATATGTGTGACATTGCATGTCATAATTAACATGTTTATCCCAAAGGGAACTCTACTTGCCCTCTGTATTTATGTTTATATCCATTATTAGCCGGCTACCATCATGTATATAAGAACATTGATTCAAGCAATAAAGATTCAGTTTGATTGTACAGCAGACTAGTGTGCTTCACTCTGTGAGTGTGCTCGTGATAAACCAAATGTTAGCCCAAGCATCACCATGACAACAGTTTAATTCTAACTGACCCTCGGCCATGATTCTTCTACATTAGGAATTAGCACATGTTAAATTGTTACAGGAATGCGCAATAGTTGCTTACTTGCTAAAACCAATTATTGTGCTGATAGTTGTACCAGCAGTTACAAATTAAAGTGCTTTTCAAGGTTATATTACATGAAGAGGAAAGTCAAAATGTTACCCTAAATAGCCATCAATCAGATGGCTATAGTTACTGTAGAACAAAAAACTCACAATTCAGTAGTTATGCAAATTTATTCACCAAAACAAGAGTTCACCATCATGTACATCACGTGTTAATAATGCATGGGGAACTAAGATGCACAACACCTAACCCAATGGAACATGACCCACCCACCCATGCTGGTAACAGTCTCAGATTACATGTGACGAGCACAGCAAGAAAGCTGTCTTGATCTGGTGCATAAATGAGCTATTGTATTGCACGCTTTGCTAAATTCACCGATATAAAAGTAACTAGCGTTAACAGAAATGCAATACTTACATTATTAGGCTCTGTCTGTGGGAAGATTTTGATTTTGTTACACCTCTCACAATGTTGATTGAGCGAAAATGGTTCCTAACAATTGTGTTTAAAATAGAGCCATCCTCTTCATCCACCTAGATGTAATAGATTTGGCTATCAACAAGTAAATACTCAATGAATTTTTGATAGCTTCATCAAGCCAGATATATGAGATCATGAACACATACCCACCTACCAGCATGGAAGTAGAATGCCTAGTGAGGCTGGTCAAGAGAAGGCCAAGCATGATTGACAATCATTATGATCACATCATGCAAGACCAGCTAGCAGAATGGACAGTCAAAAGAGTTGTTGACTGGCCTAACAAGAGAATAGTTTACAACCTGCATAAACCTTTGAAAAAGGAAATGGGCATTGTCATTACAAACTTCAGAATTGTAAATGAACCATCAGCTATGCGAGGTAAGAGTGAATGAATGAGTGTTCAGAGATTTGCCTCCCTTTGCAGAACCTGTTATGGCATGTACTTGTGCATAATCACATGGAACCAGAAGCCTGAAGCCAGAGGCCCAAAGACCTGAAGACCGGGATGCACCACTAGGTCTCCCCCTGAATCAAGAACAACGACTCATTACTGAAGTCTTGAGATGTAACAGGTTTGCAAGAGAGCTATTTGAGTGGCTTTGTTAGTTATACCTATAATGAAATCTAACAGTGAAAGAAGTACCCAGTAGAAGTACATGATATTTTGAGAAGTCTACATGTTGATGGTATCATGCCAGGTGGCACCAGAGACAAAGTACACGACCCAAACAGAACGATTATATGAGTGTTTGAAGAGGCCAAGTTTCTATGTAAAACTGGGACTCCAACAAGTCCAGAAGAGAGTGAGAATGTCACTTCTGTTAATAAGCAGTAGTGCTACAAGAAACAACACTATCAAGTCAAGGAAAACAAATTCAAGATGGTAGGACACCCAAAGAACAAAAGCAAGAAGACCATTTCTGTGGCCTTTCCTGAGGAGCCATCACAAAGGAGCAGAATACTAGCATTCTCAACTGCAGAGTACCACCCACTGGGCATAGCGTAGCCCACAGTGTGTCTATATCACAAAGTATGTGACAGTCATCTACAATAGCATGAGAATGTATCAGAAAGAATCTGACAAGAGTGGCTAAGTCTCTTGAAAAACCTTCAAGATCACACAACTCCACAATCATTACTTCTCTACATTAACAGTCTTGTAAGTGACTTAGAAATCTATAATCTTGGTGGCAGATTAACAAAGGACAAACACACAAACTATACATGGTACTTACCAAAACTTTGGCCTTTGCAAAGACCTGATAACCATCTTTTCCTCTTGCAAGATATGACTTTGTACAAACTTTGTACTTCTGGAAAATTACAAATAAGATCTTGGATGTTGTAAAGTATTCTTTCAATTCAGTATGACTTCTTTTCCCTATTCTGTAGCGTGACTCAAGAACTAAACATTCAATATGGAAGTCCCGTAGACACACACCAAAACGAGGCGCACATAATCATTGAAGGCAGGAACCAAAACGCATACATTCAGGGTCTGAAATTNCACCGAGACCGTGTCTGGACATGTCCACTTCTAGTGTGACCTCCTTGTTTACATCGTAGTATGCTAGAGTTCCAGCAGAGGTAATCAACTGTTTCATGTGATTGAGGGCAGTGTCCTGTACACAATCCCATACAAACTCGGAGTCTTTCTTTAGCACATGATTCGCAAATCTCTCAAAATATGACTTTTTTCCCTCAAAATATGACATTGCTCCATGTGTTGGCGATGTCTCAACCTTTTTCTCCACACCATATCAGCAAATAACTGCACATTTCTTCCTCTTTCTTTGACGTGAGCGGACCACTGAACATGAGTTCCACATTTTGTCGGAAATGCTTCCAGCATTCTGGTAAGTTTTCGGATTCCCAGTCCATCTGAGGACTCTGCACTCCAGCTAAATCCATGCTTGAGGGTTTATCTCAATTCTGACACCATGTAAAGTATTCTTTCAATTTAGTATGGCTTCTTTTATCTATTCTGTAGCGTGACTCAAGAACTAAACATTCAAAATGGCGGTCCCGTAAACACACACCAAAACGAGGCGCACATAATCATTGAAGGCGGGAACCGAAACGCATACATTACAGATATAAAACAGATTACCTCATTTGAACGCTAGAGACTTTATTAAGCAAACAAAGTTGTCAATCACACAAACAGAAGAAAAAAACAACAGTGGTAATTACACTGCTGACAGTTGATGCAAATGAGTATTTTTAAAAAAATTCAAAATAACATGTTTGTGTCTATCGATCAGATAAAAGAATGTACATGGTCAAATATTAAACAATGCCAACCTTATTCTTGTCAAGTGGCTCATCATCAATGTACACAGTGTTTTCAAGGATTCTACAACCAGGATCTCGATGAGGGTTAAAACAAAATCTCATACCTGAAACCTGAATGGAAATTGTAAAAAATAACAGAAATAACAAATTAATATTTATAAAGTTTGTTTCACGTTAAAATGTACATAGTTCTAACTTTAAAACAATAAATTAAACAACACTCTCCAACATTAACGATCATTTCAACTACCGTCAATTCTAAATAGTTGAAGAACATAAGCCAAGCAGGGTCCTTGACAATACCGTAAACTTCCGAAATTAGTGACCCTCCTTACTTTCGGAATTAGCAGCCTTTATGGCTCGCTACTTTCAGAGGATCATTACTTTTGGGGGGTCTTTATGGTACTGCACAACAAAAGCTTTTGACATGTTACCTGCCATGATAGTAAGGCGGGACGAAAGTTTGGTCACCAAGTTTTAACGCAAAAATCGTACTGTTGTCACGAGCAACTGGCTCTGTATCCATTGGCAACTTGTGGGCCTTTGATGTCATTGGCAGCAAAGCGCGCGAAAGTCCCTAATGTAGGCGACATGACAGGTGACCAACGGCTGTTGATATTGTTACCAACGGAAACAAGGTAAGTTGCCCATGACAACACCATAATTTTAAGGCCAAAACTTTGTAACCAAACTTCCCTCGTGCCTTACTCAACTGATAATCGTAGTAACAGTAAGTCATACACTGTATGTCAAACCGCAGAATCTGTTTCATTCGGTAACAGCTACATTTTTTTATTTCAATCACCTGAGGAAATCTTCCCTCAAGTTTAGGCCACTGACTCACTCCATTTTCTAGTGCCTGTAAAATCTCACCACCTGACAAGCAGAAAAAAACAGTGTCAGAATAATTTTAAGAAGCAGGCAGTCTAAAGTATCAAACGATAGACTGCAACGTTTCGTGCATTTGAAGCACTGTCAGTCGGTGATTTGCTCAAGAAACTGCTAAACTAATAATTTAACTTCATCCATAGGATGCAAGTGGCATATTAGGGGCTCTAAATATGTATAAAACGCATATCACAAATCAAAAAGAATTTTTCTTTTCTTTGTTGTACCTGTCATTTCCAACACCACTAGGACATCCGGCATAGGTAAGATAGAATAGAGATCCTAAGAACAAGAACTTGCCATTTAGTGGGTAAATTTAATGCAGTATGGATGTACTTCTTTTCTTAAAAACTGCACATAACAAGCAGGCCTGACCATTATTTTTTTGATGGGGGGGGGGGGGGGGGGGGGGNGTGAACAATTCCCCCCTCCCAAAAAAGAAAAAAATTATACAGAGCAAAAACTGTTGAAAAGTAAAATTGTGCAAGGGGAGCCATGGGAAAAAAAATCAAGCAAAAGCAAGCTTTCTACTATTCAGGTCCTCTGTTTGACATTAAATACACTATTGCACAAGTTGCACTGGGTTCGTACTTTTTGAAGCTTTTAAAATTCCATGACTTTCCATGACCTTTTCCATGACCCTTTGGAGTTTTCCATGACCAAAGTTAAGCAGTTGTTCTCCCAGCAGTATCAGAAAACAATCATTTATTTAACGTATTTTCCAGCCTTATAATGTATAAAATGTGTGCTTGTGTCTATTTCTACTGAAATTAAAGCCTGTTTCTGACTCGTGTGTTATTTTTTCAATTTTTAAAATATCTTTTTGCCAAGCATATCACTTTTCCATGACTTTCCATGACCTTCACTTAAATTCAATAACTTTCCAGGCCTGGAAATTGAAAAAACAAATTCCATGACTTTCCAGGTTTTCCATGACCTGTACGAACCTTGTTGCAGGTGACCACACAATTACATACCCCAGAAAATTGCCCAACCCCCTCCCTCAAAAAAATAATGGTCCATCCCTAAACAAATTCTACCTACATGTGTATTTCAATGGTTCACTTGACACTTTTGACCAGTTCTCAAAAACTCATAGCTAATGGTATATCTGCACTGTACCTTCATCTTAAACTTTCCAGGAGGATGAATAGTATCTGATCGTAGCGTTCCAGAGTTTAGGATAACACAATCCACTTCAGTCACATTGTGAATGATATCTGTTACAAAGTTTCCTGTACCAAAAGTAAAGAATGAACAAAATTTTATTTCATAGAGTAAAACTCTGGGATAATGATACTAATCCCACCTTGGCTCTTAGTCAAACAAAACTGTAAATCTCATTCACTGACTTTCCAAGGAATGACAAAAACTAACCAACAACTCACCAAGATTAGTTTCCTTTGTTCTTATACTAGAAAACCTTCCATCAAGTTCAACTTCCACTTCCCCAATAACTTCGTCCATCATGTCATTCATAACACCTTGCAAAATTGAAGACATTTAGTGACTTTGCTATTGAACAATCAAGTAAGAGATGGGTTATTGCAGGTCATTTCCCCCATGTGGAGACAGGGCCAAAAATGACTTGCCTCCACTTGCCCTTGTTCATGATCACAATTGCCGCTGCAGCCCGTGATGTTATACCCATCTCAGTGTGTTCTCTTTCCACTACTAAGGAAAGATTCTCAAAGTTCACAGATACAGCATGCAAAGAAAGCCATGCGCCATAGCCCAGGGCTAGTGGACTTTGCTCTCAGGCCAGTGTATTCTGTCCTTCACTTGCCTGTCGGGCAGGTGAGGTTTCCTGGGAACATTTTTGAGGGAATTTAAACTACAGACTGAACTACCGCAAGAGATGAAATTTTGGGGGCTTAGCAAGAATTACTTTCAGACTGGTACATCATAGTTTTTCTCAAAGCAGTAGACTGTTCACAGTCCCCTATTTTTCCGTGAGATCGTTGATGTCGGTCGTTAAGTTTGATGGGCGGCCATCTTGGTCTCTTGATATGAGCGAAACTGGGGAGAGTACAAAATGCCCGTGGGTAGTGGCGGTGGGGTTAATGGCGTGGGGGTGACAGGGCGGAAAAAATAGGGAGACTGTAACAGCTTCACTCTCTCTGGTGTTCGCTGCGTTAGTTGCTCCAGCAACGGCAACACCTGATTGGTCGAAGGGACAATAGAGTTCATCAGAGCGTAGCAGAGCATTGACAACTTGAGTGACAGAAAGTGACATTCATCACTTCGCAGCTCAGGCCAAAATGGCATCGATTTCAAGAGAATTTTCTGGAGAATGTTTTGATTTCGATCGTTTCTCTGCTTCTTGTCTTGGAGGATTGGTGTTAAAGCGCGAGCAAAAGGAGGCTGTTTCTTGTTTACTCGAAGGAAAAGATGTTTTGGCGGTTCTTCCAACTGGTTTTGGCAAGAGTTTAATTTATCAAAGTTTCATTTTGGCGAAGGAAATGGCTGAAAGCTCCGTTGGTAGTTCTTATTTCTGACTGAAATTTTACAGTTAATGCCACAAAGACGGCACACATCTGAATAATTGGAATTCTCTGTGGGGTTTGCCGCTTTTTTTGGAGTTAGAGAAGAGTTCTTCCGTCCAGCATTCATTCGACGCAACTTAGTAAACCTTCAAAATGTTTCAAAATTCACAACACAGTAACATGTATTCATATCATCATCCCTGATTTGACAGGGTTTTTTCTCAGGAGAGGAGATTGTTAATAGATTTGATTAACGGAGGCGCCAAACTGGCGGCCGCGCCCCTTGAACACGAGACAGAGTAAAGCTGTTGCAGTCTCCCTATTTTTTGTACTCTCTCCAGTTTCGCTCGCATCAAGAGATCAAGATGGTGGCCCGTCAAGCTCAATGATCGACATCTACCATCTCACAGAATAATAGGGGACTGTGAACAGTCTACGAAGCAGGGGTTTCACTAATGTTTCCAGCAGGAGAGCAACTGGTTTTCACAGGCTGGCCAAACTTTTTGAGCTGGACTTCTTTATAAGAAAAACTTTCCGTTAGATGGTCAGACCAGGTGGGCAAAATCGTCCTCACAGTCAGTCAATTTGCCTGGTTCCCGGCCCTCCTGTTGAAGGGTAAGCCCAAAAATGTGCTTCCTCTCCACCTTAAGATAGGATCCTGTATACATCTATATATCACATTTACCTGTGTTGAACCAAGCACTAAATCTGATTTGACAAAAAATTGAAACTCACCAACATATTTATCAACAGTGGATTTCACTTCTGGATCTTCTGGGATATCACTTGTTATTTCAATCCTTTGCACATCCAACGTAAAAGAGTTATCTGTGTTGAAGTTGACAGTAATGCAGCTGAACTCTCTGAAGTCTGTACCACTCTTGATAACCTGGACACCATTAATCTTAAAAGAGCCAAGCAGGAGAATTAAGTTTGACAGAACATCTATCTAATAATTGCTGTGTTCTTTTGCTGAAATTTAGTTACTTTGGGTCACCTGCTCAGTTCTATAAACTATTCGAATGTCCCAAACTCCAGACAACCTGGTATCTAAACTAGTTTTCTTACTTCTTCCCCTTTTCTCCTATATGATTCTACATCTTGTAACAAAATTATTGCATTTTTTGTCATAAATATCATTCCATACACTAAATGCATAATTTAAATTGCAAATAATCTTTATACTCCCTTAACATAGATCGAGTTTGAATAATATTGACTTGACCTGACTTGGCTAGATGTTAAAATGTCAGTTAGATGACCTGCCTTCTCACTCCTGACACAGAACCCTCAACATGTTCAACCTACATTACTAGTCCTTAATGGACTCAAGAGTTAAGTTGTGACATGTGCCAGTTACCTTCGAAAAAAAAAAAGAAGAGGGACTCTTCCTGGCCATGTGAAAGACACAACATGCAGCTGTGTGTATTTAGTTCTTGACACCCTATGGCCATCAAAATTCTCCTGGCCAACAAGTCACACACAACTGGAGTACAGACTTACTCTGTTGCACTGGGTAAAATGGACAGTCCCTCCAAATTATTATTTTCTTGATGATTCAAAAACAGCTGTCTATGAAAATATTGTAAAGTTATGCATACCTCCTGAGAAAAGTAGTCATGATCATGACCACCTAGTATGAGATCGATTCCAGTTGCTTGTTCTGCAAGACGGCGATCATTCGGTCCTCGCATGTGAGTCAAGGCCACCACAAACTCTGCTCCCTGGAGTAACACAAGTTAAGAGGTGGAGAATTTTATAATCGTAAGTTTCTAATCTAATATTGAGAATGAGGAACATGTCCAGAAAATGGGTAGCATGACAATTAGAACTTTCCATCATCATCATCATCATCATCACCACCATTCTCTTTATCCTCATTTTATGCATCATGATTATCAACACCACCACAGGGTCCGAAATTGCGCTTTCCTGGTCGCCAATGCGACTAAAAATTTTGCACTGGTGACCAGAATTTCACAGCTGGTCGCCAGCGGGCGATTAACTATTTCATGCTACGATAATTACACAAACAATAACGTTGATTTTCAGCCAAATCGATTGAAATAAAATTCAAAGCCACCCTCCAATTGATCACTTCCTTTTTACCTTTCCGCTGCTTTTGAAGTATAAAACCAATTTTCCTGTTATTATAAATCTACCACAACGTCTCACAGCGACGATCAGTACGAAGCTTCGCTGCCATGTTTTTTCAGCGGTTTCCCATAGCATATGCATTGCAGGCGCAAGAGGCCATGTGCGTTCTTTCGCCATGAATACTTATCCAGGCGATGTGGTGTCCAAAGATGTTCTGAAATCTTTTCGTAATTTATTACAAGGTGGAGACGGAACATCCGCGAAGAAATTAGATGAAGATTTAGATGTTCTCTGGGCGTCAAAAGGTGGAAATGTAGATCTGTCAAAGTGGTCAAAAGATGATTTCAGCACTGGTTTGATTCCTGATTACATCGATTGCAAATATTTTACCGGCAAGCCCGTGGTGACCAAAAATTTTGGTTTGTGTTTCGCTGCAAAAGAAAAATTTTACTGACACTTTTTGGTGACCACATTTTTCCATTTGGCGACTGAAAAAAAAATTTCAGTCGCCAGTTGGCACCTGCCAAAAAAAGTTAATTTCGGACCCTGCACCACCAACACCACTGTCACTGATACCCTCGATCATCATTAACATAATGAAAAGTATCATTGAATGATTAGAAAATGGTGATCAAAAATAGTGTTATTATCATTAAGCTATGGTAATCATTATTTTTTTAATTAACAAATATCCAAACTGCTCAATCTTAGGTATTTTATAACATGTTCGTGCAAGATCAAGGCATCTCACAAGGACTATCATTCCTGTGTATCTAAACCATTAATTAAAAGACTGAAAGATAACTGCAAAGGAAATAGTCACCTCATCTCTTAATTCTTTTGCGAGCTTTGTCCCTTCTGTTACAAAATCCAGGTATGTAACTTCCTCCCTGTCAACTGTTGCTAAGGTAACAAGCCACTCCTCTTCAACCAGACCGATGAAACCAACCTGGATAAATGAAAGATATATTTCATATATAAACATTATATGCTATCTCTCTTGGATTATCCAGGGGTCTCCAAATGCAATCATAGAATCTTCTCTCTATCATGTCAACTCAAACCTTGCTTTTACAGTATGCAGAGGCTTGCTTCTAGTTCGCTTCAGAATTCATAAATGACCTAAACGCAGAAGGTGGCAATAAGGGGTTTATACTTTGTAGATCAAAGAACAACCAACCTTTCTCTCTCCCCACTCTATTATCCGCTTGATCTCACCATCAGCCAGTTGTTTTTCTGTCACATTGTCAATAACGTTACTTAGAAGCCATGGACAATTAGTAGCTGCACTAAACTCCATTAACTCATCAACACCAAAGTCTACCAGAAAAAATGAGAACAAAAGTTACCAAAATGTTTCTGAGATGTTTGAACATGGTCTGGAACTGGTCCTCAACTTAACTGGTACTGTAACTTGTCCATAATCGGCAAAACTATGGACTATGGTTCTGTGTAAGATCTGAGTCCAAGTCAAAGGCAAAGTTGTTTGTTTGTTTTACTATTTAGAAGATGGTGACCTGGATATTTAGGAGACGTTTAAATCAAAATAATTACATAGATGTACAAGTAGTTAAGTAGAGAAACATGCCTTGACATTTATATGTGGTTAGGCAGAGAAAAGCAACCTGATTTGAGACAGGTTAGGGTTTATTTTAATTCACATAAAAAAGATGGATTTGAGGGCTCACAGAATTTGGTTTCCCTTTAATGGTGACCTGGATGTTGGTAATCCAACCATGATCAATACCAACTGAACCAAATGAAATGAAAAAGACGGTAAAACAATCTTTTAAGTAACTCACCAAAATCATGATTTCCAAACACAGCAATGTTCACATTCAAAGCATTCAGAATTGGAATCATTTGTTTGCCTCCAGTCACACTACTCACTGCAAGAAAAAACACATGTCAATTATCTGCTATTACTTGACTCTCAGTGGAGGATTCCCAATATGGTTCTTCAATCCCATCACCCCAACCAAAATTTTTCCTTGATCCCATAATCCCTACAGTTTCTGTCGGCTAATCCCAATCCCAGTCATATTTTCTTATAATAAGTCCCTTACCTAAACGGAAATTATATGGTCACAGCAAACCCAAACACTATTAGGTTCAACTACTGTCAGTCATTTCTTTTTGAAAGTTTGTTCTTTCTTTTGTTTTACCTCTATTGTGTGGCCTCCTAGCCTGCCTTTCCAATCATTTTAATGACTGCAAAACATATCAGATGGAGATGATAGCAATCAAAGAAGGTTATTAAGGCTGATTTCCATATAAAAAATAGTACATGTAGTGATCACAGTAATTATATGCAAGCCACCCTTTACAAGTACATATATCAACACTTGCCCCAGAAATTTGACAGATCAGTACACATAACAGCTGAAAAGTCATCCTCTAGAGATACGTTTAATAAGTGGACTACTACCAAAAACCTACTGGGGACCGTCTCAGTGGACTAAAGCAGAAAACAACAAGGATTTTACAAATCAGTATGTTTATGCAAGGGGAATTTACTCAGATCTAAAAAGACAGTGAAGGAACCAGTAAAAATTTCCCTTGCTTGCTACATGTACAGCCTAAGCTCTGCAACATCACAAATGAAAAAGATGCATAGTCTTTTTGCAAAACGCATCCTTGGGATGCAGGAAAAAAGTTCCGAAAATTTTAGTGATAGGCAAAGGACCCCTGAAAAGCAAAAAGGAACACCCAACTCTTTGGAACTGGGACCCTTAACTATCAAAATTAGTGGGAACTCTGCATCACAACTGGTATTAAATCTCTTATATGAGTCAAATTTGTACCAAGTGAACAGGTTGCTGTGAGGTACGGATCTAAGATAAATGGTGACCAACTTCTGAAACAAGCTCTGAAGATGCTCTGGGGCTGTACGCTCCCAGGAAATGTTTTGGATTTTTAAAAATTCCCTTAAGTCCCCTTTCCTGGGTTTCTGAGTCATTCTGAAAAGTCTGACCAATTTTGGTAAAACAGTAGAAACCAATATGGATCAACTGGGTTCAATACCAAGCTTCTTTGAAAAATTATAGTTACTTGAGGCAAAGATAATTTTTCTTGCAACTTGTCTTGCAATTTTGTTACAACCCAAGTTGCACTGAAAACTGGCTACTGTCACAATCCCTGACACAAACCTATCTCACATGTTTGGCTGCAGCAACTGTTTGATGGGGTATTGGGGCCTACTAGAAAGTGAAAAACCACTCAGATTTACTTTGAAAATTGAAAAACCTGCCACAAAAATCACAAGAAAGCTAAAAGCTGTTGAATGTAAGCGTTATCAATAGTTAAAAGTACACAATCACAAACTTGAATCCCCCAAGCTGAATACAGCAGTAAAAGAAGTGTACTTTTCCTTTTCTGAGGGATCAAGACATTCTATTACCACTCCTTTTTGGCTGATAATTAGCAAATTTTCAACAAAAATGGCAATTAAATGCCACAAATTCCTGTTTCTAGGCAAAAGCCGCATGTAAACTAACAATCCCTTCCAGTTTGAGGTTTAAAGGAGATGATTGACCACTGATGCATGTAGAACACATACGGAGTAAATTTGAGTAAATCTTCTTTATATAGACCACTTGTCAACTTTCACGCATTGACCAAGGTGAAATAATGAGGCCTAGGAACTAGGCAAGAGAATAATCAAGGATGAAAAACCGTTTTTCTCATCACCAAAAACCGAAAACCAAATCTCAGCTAAAAAAGGAAAAAAACTTGCAACAGAAAACAAAACTGAAAAACGGAATATTTTTTACTCCAAAAACCAAAAAAGAAAAACAAATGATCTAAAAAGAGGCCAAACAAAAACCATAAACCTGAAAACTCCAACATCCCCCTCTTGTTTCCTGGATGGAGCGTACACTGAATTTCAAGTGACAGGGATGATTGAATGGTGGCAAAACGAAAAGAACAAAAACTTTTCTAGGCCTTCTGGCCAGGAAAACCCACAAAAAACCCTGGACCAAAAATTTAACCCCAAATTATGTAGAACGTCATCGTTTCATATTAAAACAACCATAAAAAGTTTGGTACTTTATTACCAGAACTACACAGTCCAGGCATTACCACGAATCTTCAAATTATTTTGAATACCCAGCCAAAACGGTGAAAAAGGCATTGTGTGCAGAACTGTAAAGCTTCCCGTGTACTGCATGTGTACATTGACATCACATGGGATAATGTGCCAATTAACAGTGGACATTGACCACAGACGGTCATCTGAGTGGGAAAATCACTGCAGCTGTCAAATGTTAAACTCTGTTTGCCATTTTCCGTTTTATATAGGTTAAATCGTGCAGGCCGACATGACTCAAACGAACTTGATTTGTGAACAGAAAAAAGCACACAGTAAATATTTTTTTTTCCCGAGCGACGAAAATAATTAAGTTTAGTGATCAAGTTTTAGTGAATGATGCATACGGTACTCACTTGTTGAAGGATTTAAGCAGTCCCCGCTGAATACAATCAAAGGATTCAGATGTTTCAAGCTTGCTAGTTTGGTAGCAAATCTCGCAGCTCCTCCGACCGGCTCTTTTTCTCGAGGTTCAATGTTGTAAACATCATTGAAGTGCACAATGGTCATTTGTGGTGATTTGGTTACTGTTTTTGTCTCCGCAAAGCTCACTCGCCGCTCAGCTGTTCTTTTGTCAGTGCCAATTGTTGTTGTTCCTTCAGGGGTAGGATGAAACTGTCTGTCAGATGAATTCTTATTTTGAACAGTCTGAAGAGTGGAAGCATCGCCATTGACCGATAACGGTTTGGCACCACCGCTCTCTGTTGCGCTGTCGGGAGTTTTGCTCGAGCCGCAACCCATTTGTTCACTTTGACAAAAATCCGAGGGAGTAAAATGCTTCACTGTGTGTCAAAAAACACATCCCGCTAGTAAAGACTCCATTAATAGGCCTTCCATGCTCTCAAAAACAAAATTCGCTGCGCCGGACGGTCGAAGTTAGATCTGTTGCAGTTTACGTATCTGGGGATGATTCCCTCTTGCGCGCGCGGGGTTCAAAGCTGCCAGTCATGGCTATGTTTCCATAGTAACAACCTGTTGAGCTACCAGTCTATCATATATTTAGCTCTTATTAACCGAGCTGGAGGTCTGTATGGGAGAATCTTGACCGAGGTCGTGAGTACANACCTGCCGACATTTGCTCGTCCTCTTTACTTTTTTTTGTCATCAGGCTTTTTGGCACTTCCATAAATGATTGAGAAGAAAATAAAAGAACATTTGGTGAACATTTTTGTATTTTAGTTTGATACTTTGTCAACGCAAAATGAAACCGGTCTAGATGCCGGTCTAGATGGGAAAATCTAGACCGCGGTTAATATCGATTTCAGCCAATCAAATTCGTGAATTCGGTAGTTCCCAGTCCTTGTGAGACACAGCCATATAATAAATATGGATTATTGACCAAGTGTAAGGTCAAGATGGCTGGATATTGGCCAAGTTCTTTTTTTTTGCGTGTTTATGGACCGAGACGGAGTCGAGGTCCATAAACTCGCAAAAAAAGAAAATTTATATTTATTTTAAAATTTTTTCATATATTTATAATGCACAACTAGATTTCAGAGTTATAAATTCTTGTATTTTTGGTTGTTTTACGGACCATCCTTGTGGCATTTCTGTACAGTTAGGTGTCATTAAACTGAAAAAAATAAATAAATAAATATGGGTTGCCATTTGGAGGTGGTGCTCATTATCGGAAGGATTTTTGTGTCGTGAGGCACAAAAATATAAAGATGTTTATCATCGGAATTTTTACAGATTTGGGCTGCGCGATAGTCAACTTCGATTGTTGTAGAGTAATTTTCTGGAGATAGCAGGTCAAGTAAAACGAGATGGATCTTTGTATGGCTGGTATATTTATGTTTGTCATAAACTTTAACTTTCCTTAGCTCCATCATTAAATCCTAGAGATCATGATCTTATTCAATGATTTGAAAACTTTGAAATTAGGTACAGCCTTGAGCCTGTCCCTCTAAAAGCAGTGTAGCTTGGCAATTTTGTTCCGTTTTCAAGAAAAAAACGACTACACAATGAATAACGGCAGCGAATTTTCTTTCTTTTTCTTTTTGGTATCGAGTGAAAAATGTTCTTTCAATGTGTTTAGTGCAGAGATTTGATTCCAAAATAATCGAACAGGACGAGTGTCTACCGATATAGATGACATATATAAAAAAAACGAGTGAAGCGTGTTTGTCAAGTTTGCACAAATTGCCGAAACAGAGGCCTGGTGTCACGTGACAAGGGGTTTCCCATCAGTCCTTACAAAGTATTTGCGTTGTTATTGCCCATGTAGTCACGACTCAGTGTTTTGAAAGAGAAAGGATCCAGGCATTATTAATTCTGCATGTTTTTACTTTTCTCATCCACTTACCTATCGCCGGTTTTGCTGTAAATCCTTCAGTTATTTACTTCCTAGACATTCAGCATGCCCGTATCACCAGAAGACCTCATCGGTCTTCTGGCTATAATCACAAGCGAACAGAAATATCAAGTCACAGACACTCATCGCGTGAGAGGAGGTCTGATCACCGGGATCAGTGCGACTGTTGGTGGTGTGTGCGGCGGGCCTGTTGGTCTTGTTGTGGGAGGGCTTGTTGGCGGATCATTGGCCGCTTGGAAGGGAAAATCCACCGCAATACCACTCGATCAATACTTGATGGATATTAACAAGGAACAAAGGCAAGCCATGTTCGAGTACATGAAATACCTGATAGAGGAAAGCAAAGTGCAAAATTTCGTTGCTTTGAACGCCAAGGTTGCGACAGACGCGGATTTGAAACGGCGATTTCTAGAGGTGCTGTTGTGTTACTTGAAGGTAGAGCTTAGACTGAACGTGGTCGAGTGAGTAAAAAGATATGGCAGCGCTGAAGATTTACACTGATTATCGTAAGACAAGACACCAGCTTATAATGGAGAACTGGATTTGAAGAGAATAAAGACGCTAAAGAGAAGCAAGCAGCTATAGCGAGGAAACTGGTGATGAAACATTTTCCAGAGCAATTTAATATTTTCCACCATTTTAAAATTTGTTAATTAAGTATGTTTAAAAACCTCACCCATTGCAGAATTTACACAGAGTAGAACAGTGTACGAAAAACGCGTATCAATAGTTTTTATGCAACCAGTTGGATCGAATAATACTTCAAAATGGAGTGCCTCGTTCTGCTTAAGTCTGTTCTAGTTTTTTCTCTCGGAAATACTAAAAATCTTGTCATATTTTGTAGAAAATTAAATAGCTCGACCCTCTTTTATTTGAATGGAAAATAATATTCAGGTTTTTGAAATGTATTCTACTGAAAAACATTTTTGCTAGAAATCTACAGTTTCCATGGCACGCTTCAGACTGAATAGATGCTAATTGATTCTAGGAAAACAACAGGTTTCAGAGAACATAACGCAGAGCAGTCACAGAGAACAGAATTACCGGTAGCTGAACTAAAGCAGTAACTATTTTGACATTTAAAAAATACTTTTAATTTCGATAACTTTTGAACTCTTGCTCCCGTTTGAACGGGAGTCAGTTGACGGCAATTCGAAACCGGTCCGTCCAGTTTATTCGGATATACAACTGAAAATTTCAAAATCCACACTTGTAACCGTAGAAAGGAAAATAGGGAGCTTAAAGGTTCGGTAATACGGGCAATATTTTTCTTCAACTTGTCTCGCAACATTGTTGCATTGTAGATTGAAACACATTGTTGTGCGTATTACCACGTTTGTGACCAACTGACTTGTCTCGCAGCAAAATACAGTGTTGCAAGTGTGCAGAATTCTACAGTTGTAATTGGTTAATCGTGTGTAAATAAAGATGGCGCCTTGTTTAATATAATTTAGAATTTCGACGAAGTTCCACCTCGACTACTGACCGTCATTTTCTTCTTAATTTTCCGTGCCAGCGAAGTTCTCTCAGTGAACCCCTGATAGGGACCTTACGGAAAACACGACGGCAACGGCAACGAGAACATCACCAAACAAAAGGTCTAATGAGCAAAACAATGACTGTGCACGTGCGTTATAATTCTTGGTACATTTCTTTGCCGTTCTCTGCAAAACAACAACGTGAAATGACTAAATTCTGCGTTGTCTGGAGAACATGAACCAAGACGGCTAATTTTTCGTATTTCTACTTGGAATTGAACGCATTCGTAGCATATTCAGCAGGAGCAAGTTTTAATACCGACAAACACACTGGAAAGTACAAAATAAATGCGAAATTTCAAAGTAAAATAGTAACACATTTTTTGGTAGGCGTCGTTCTCGTCGTCGCTCTCGTATATGCGTAAGGTCCCTAATGTTAAGATTATACGGTAAATGAAAGGAAGTCAGTTTTTTAAAAGTTTAGAATTACATGTAAAACTTATATGTGGGTTAGCCTTATCCTCTAGTCTTCTTCTGCTGCGCACGCCTTGATTCGCGGACGTTTAGCAAAATACAAGAGATAGCTATAAGCAAAGCGTTGGATCATTTATAGTGTTGTAACTAAGCGTTGGAATTTTTTTGGTATTGAGTGTATGAAGTCTATGAAACACGTGTGCAGGATTTAACGGAAGGACTTGCTTTATGTAGAAAAGCCAGTGTCAAACACACCGTGCTTCAACAAGAAACTCATCTTTGAACCCGAAAGAGAGAAACCTGGCAATAAAAATTGTAGTCATACTTGGTTTTCCCGACAGTGTACAGAAAAAGCCTGACTACATGTAAACTCAATGTCGTGGTTTAGGATACAGCCAATGCTATCAAGACGTCAACGCGGAGAACAATTGCGATGAATAATAAAAAATACTTTATTTTACTCAATGATGAACATATTCGAAATGCAGAGGTCGAACAGCCTAATCCAGGATTACACGTTCTTCAAGCTTAAGGTTTTAAATTCTCCAGTATAAATAAAAGTAGTTTTCAGTGGAAGTGACTTGTGAAGTTTGACGAAAGTCACAATGGCAAAACTGACGACTATGCAGTCCCCCCGGACTTCCCTGGCGAGGCCTTTTTCATCACAGGCTTGTCGAGGGAAGTCGTTATGAGGTGGGGGAGGTGAAATTGAAAGCGAAAAACCAGCAGGTTATCAGTTCAGCACTCAGTTAGTATAGGCAATGGTATGAATGCGAGCTGGGTTCAACTGAGTGGTTATTTGAAAATGATCTTAAAATTACACGAGCCTTTGGCCTTTGATTTGTCGTGTAATCCTTTACGACTTAGCTTTCTAACTTTCATCATCATTAATATAATACAGACAATTCAGTCCAGCAACAACGTTTACTTCATTTGAGATCAGTCAAGGCGCATTTGTCGAGAAAGGAGACGAATCTTAATGAGTTAAGTAGTGTCTTAACAAGCTTAATGGCACGTCGCGCCAATGGAAAAAATTCTTCTTAGTTTTGTAAGTTTAAGCATACTTACTAATACTAATAAGAAATGTGCTAAAAGTATGGGCTGCAGACCTGCAGACTTGCAGCTAACCTGAGCGTTACTCAGCTGGAGTGGCAGTTATCTACAGTGGAACCCAGATAATCCGGTCAACAACGGGCCAGAAAAATCTGGCCGTATTAACGGGATGGCCGTGTTAAAGTGGTTCTTTAAATAAGAAAATGACCAACTGGGCTTTTGCTCGGACCAAAATAAAGTGGCCACGTAATAACGAGGTGGCCGTATTAACGGTCTTGAGGGGTTCCACTCTATTACGTTTGCTAACAATGACGAGGTACATCATACTCGTTGATCAGATTTCTGGTTAATTTTGATGTTATGTCCCAGAGTAATCGAGTTTTATAAACCTGCGAGCCAGCGAGCCATGCGAGCCAAAGGGCGAGCCATGCGANTTCTAAAAAATAAACTCAGTTAACTGTGACCGCAGCCATCATATTATTATTTACAACCCTGCGTGAATTCATCATTTTTTCAAATTCTGCTAACTAATTAGATAGACTTCATCTTGCTATGTTCTAAGTTAAATGATTTAAATCAGGAGCCCGTAGTTTCCGGAAGAAAAAAATAGGGGGTCCAGATGGGGGTCCAGATGGGGTTCCAGATGGGGATCCAGAAGGGGTTCAGATGGGGTCCAGTTGGAGGTCCAGATTGAGGGGTCCACAATTTGTACCGACCCCATGAGTGGCTTTTAAAAATGGTCTCTGTTACTTTCGTTATATGGTAAAATAAGCTTAAATGAACAGAAAATTGAGGCTTAAAGAAAAATGTCAGAAATGTAAGCATGTATTTGTGCACGATGCAGTCGTTCCTTCAAGTGGCTGTTCCTTCCAGAGCTCAATTCACGATCGAGTGATCGAGCGAAACTGAAACCCGGGTACTGAAATAATTCATCAGAGGCTACCAATATTTGATAAAACTTCCTTTATTTGAGCTCAGTGAAACTATTATCTTTAACGTTTTTGCATTACTAACCTCGAAGGGTTGATACAGACCAGTTTGTTGTTTTCTTGGTCCTCTCTGGGTGTCTGTTCAACCAGCTGATTGAACTTCTGCTCGCTTACGATATAGCAAATCTCTTACGTGGAGGCCCGCAAAAAACTTGAGCTCGAAATTTGGTAGCTCACAGAAATTATCTTCCTCATCTCCGGAAGAATTATTAGATTTTTCCATATTGTAGGAGAAAAAAATAAGAATTATGTTTCAAAAAGGGGTAAATTCGATGAGACAATTGCCGAGATAAAGTACAAGTAAACAAACTGACGTCAGCGTGCAACCCACGGGCAAATGGATCGCGCGTATGAGCCAATCAGAACGCACGCTTTGCTAAGGCTATGTTATCAAAACTGATATTACCGTGAATCCTCGAATTAGCGCCCGGGGCGCTTATTTCAAATTTAGAAGAAGACAGGGGGCGCTTATTTAATTTTTCCCAAATC